CATAAACCAGGCAGGTGCTGACTATTTAGACATGATGATGTAGCCAGCCAGTGTGGCTCAGTGGATTGAGCCTAGTACCATGGACGGAGAGGTCCTGGTTCAATTCCTGGTCAGGGCACATGCCTGGGTTTTGGGCTTGATCTCCAGTAGGGGGCGTGCAGGAGGCAGCTGATTGAAGTTTCTATCTTTCTCTCCCTCTCTCTAAAAAATATCAATAAAAAAATGATGATGCAAATCAAGGTGAATGACTTAGTGCATCTCTAAGTTCTTAAAATTTGTTCCAGTCACCAAAGTTTTGTTTTATTTCTGTTTTGAAAAATAGAATTTTACTGTGTAAAAAAATATCTCTAAGTCCAATATAGTCATTATTGGAATTTTTTTTTTCTTTACAGCATTCAGGTTGATTTTTTTCCCCTTTTTGTAATAATAGATCTTGGGCTTTCTATGTTCAAATGTCATTTTTATTTGTTTTTTTCACTTAGTAGTGCTTAATGATACCATGTGAATTTTTATGGTCCCAGCTGCACCGAGGTGTGTGCCTTGAAACTTTAGTTGGATTAAGAATGTGCCTTGGAGTGAAGGCCGAAATTGGAGAAATGGGACAGCACAGGGTTGCATCTATATATGTTGCAACTAGTATTGATGAGTGGGCAAAACTCCAACATTATCCTAGGGGATTGGCTAATGTTCATTGTAAACCAATGCAAGTGAGTTCTTCCCCTGCAGGTGTGAATAGTTTTATTTAGTGGTTAGATTAGGAAAAGCAAGGGGTATTTACTGGGTTCCAGTTTATGTTACACACTGAACATTCACCAGCTGCTTAAGGTATAGCTTGCAATTGAGTGGTAGTAACAGGTATCTCGAGACATGGCTAACCCATTTCAGCATCTCCAGGGTCTGGCATCATGCCTGGTACATAGTAGGTGCTTATTAGCATTTGTGAAATGAACAGAACAATGAATGAACGGTCACGGTGGTGACCCCTTAAAAACACTGGTCCTTGCCCTGGCTGATTTGCTCAGTGGTTAGAGCGTCGGCCTGTGGTCCAGAGAGACCTGGGTTTAGTTCCCGCTAAGGGCATGTACCTCGGTTGCAGTTTGTCCCCGACCCTGGTTGGGTCGTGCGGGAGGCAGCTACTCAATGTGTCCCTTTCACATCGATGTTTCTCTCGCTCTCTCTCTTCCTCTCTCTCCCTCCCATTCTATCTGAACAAGAAATGGAAAAATGTCCTTGGGTGAGGATTTAAAAAAAAAAATCACTGGTCCCTGCTTACCTCTCTAGTCTTCTTACCACTTACCACTTTCTAGCCATATACAGTATTTGTAGCTTGCTAAATATTCCACATTCTTTCTTGCCATCAGACTTCTGTACTTTTCAGAATCTCTCTGCCTCTAAGGAAAATCATCAGTATCTCCTTTGTTTGGCTAATTCCTTCCAGCTCTTTATGATTTAGCACCTTCTAGAAGACTTTTTGGAGGCTTACGGCTGGTATCTGACTATAGTCCTGGTTCTCGTTTCATATCTCTATGGACCTGTGGGTAACAACAGGAAGTTCCTGACCTGTGCAGCTACTGAACCTGCATCTGCACCTTCTTTTCAGTAGAATGTGGATCATTGTCTGTTGCTTGCATCATATCTCCCAAACTCTACTTTATTGGTTCTGTCCATTTAGAAACGGGCAAAACATGACTCTGTGGTCAAGGGTACAGAGAGTCAAGTCAGCAGCAGATTCTGTTGCATTTACAGAGCATCAGTTTCAGGGTAAATGGGATGATGAAGGAGAACTGATGATGAATTACCTTTAGTATGGCTGATACCAAGGGGTCCAAGTAGGCAAAAGAGGTGGGAAATTGAACTATTCCTTTTCTAATTTAGTTACGAAAGTTTGGTGCACAGTGCATGCTTAGCCAACATTTGCTGAGGCTGAAAGAATAAGTGAATTAGTCTCCCCCCTTCCCCTTTTGGCTTTAGAAGATTTAAAAAAAAAATCCTTAGTCTCTCCCACAATACTTCTTTTTGCCCACATAACGGTAGCCTCTGTCTATACTTAGCATTTTTGCTAAGACTGACTCATTTTGTTTCTGATTGCCTTAGTGATATAGAACTCTGGTATCCATGGGGATGGTGTAAGACTATTGCTTTCATGCTTGGAAAAATGTAAACCTGAAGGGCCAGCTGTCTGTACTGGTCCCAACTAACTCCTGAGAGCTGTAGGGCAATCTCACTCTTCAGTTCTTTTTTTTTTTTTTTTTTTTTTTTTTCATCCTCACCGGAGGAAATTTTTCCATTTTTTGTTCAGGTAGAGTGGGAGGGAAAGTGGGGAACAGAGAGAGAGAGAGAGAGAAACATCGATGTGAAAGGGACACATCGAGTGGCTGCCACCCGCACAACCGACCAGGGCCGGGGACAAACTGCAACCGAGGTACATGCCCTTAGCGGGAACCGAACCCGGGTCTCTCAGGACCGCAGGCTGACACTCTAACCGCTGAGCCAAACCGGCCAGGGCTCACTCTTCAGTTCTTAAGCCATTGTGGAAAACAGCATCATCCAGTGGGAAGCTAATCAGCCTTTGTGACAGACAGATGTGATTCAGACTTGGTCTCTGCTATGGATGGGCTGTGTGGCTTTGGGCAAGTTGTTTAACCTCTCTGAGTTTCTGGTTTTTTGTTTTTGTTTTTTAAAATGTCTTTATTGATTTTGTGTTTTTTTTTTAAGAAAGAGAGAGAGAAACATTGATGAGAGAGAAACATCCATTGGCTGCCTCCTGCACATCCCCTACTGGGGATCGTTGAGCCCACAACCCAGGCATGTGCCCTGACTGAAAATCAAACCAGGACCTCTCAGTCCATGGGACGATGCTCAGTCCACTGAGCCTCATTGGCCAGGCCTCTTTGAGTTTCTTCAGCTCAGTTTTTAACTTGTAAAATGGGGGAACAGTATTAAGTCATAGGATTGTGTGACAGTTAGAAATGATTTTGTTAAGTGTCCTAGTCCATATTTGATGATCAGCAAATGGTAGACATTGCTATGACTGTTACTGCTTCAGAGTTCCAGTGAGGACAAGGTGATAGGAAGCACCTAGATGAGGTGGAACAGCTGAGTTAGATCTAAACTGTCTCTGTGTGTCCACAAAGGAGACTTTCCTTCTTTCTCTGGAGAAAATTCAGATGTTTAAGAAGGGAACTGAGAGTATTTTCCCAATGTTCTGTGTATTTTTGAGCTGGCTAAAAATTGATACTGATGACTAAGAAACAACTTTTAAAAATACATGTTAGGAGGTAGGGTAGTTAAGGAAAGAACACTGACCCTTGTTCCAGGGCCAAGGCTTTGCCCGAGTCCCCGTCTGTCACCGAGCTGCATCCCTTCCCCAGGAGCCCAGCACACTGGGCCAAATGATCCTGGCCCTCTACTGTGTGTCCTTCCCAGGCAAGTGTTCTGCCTGCCTGGAAGTTATGTAGGTGGCCCTAGATGGGCTGCTTTTATTATTTCAAAAAGTGTCAGCAGAGAAATAGTTAGACATTGGAGTGTCCCTTTGAAAACATTTTTATTGATTTTTTTAGAGAGAGAGAGAAATATCTATATGAGAGAGAAACATCAATCGGTTGTCTAGTGCACACCCCCCAACAGGGAGCAAGCCCGCAACCTGGGCATGTGCCCTGACTGGGAATTGAACCAGTGACCTCTTGGTGCAGGGTCAAGACTCAACCACCGAGCCACACTAGCTGGGCTGGAGTCTCGCTGTTGATTTGACATTTTGGGGCATTCAAGTACAATTGTGCTTGGCCAGAAAGTCTTCCAGCTCAGTAATTCTGTGAGTGGAAACTCTGAATAAATGTAAACCAAGAAAGGATTTTCAGGGCAAATTTTAAAATTCTCACGTGGCTTGGTTATAGCAACTGCTTAAAACACTGGGCTTCTTCAGGGGTGTTGATAATGCTCCTCCTTGAATGGGGAATGGGTTTCCCAGCTTCCCGAGAACAACAAAAACTCCCCAACAAACCCCAAAGTGTCTGAAGCGCCTGCTTCTTAAAGAGCCGATCGAAGACTCTTCTGTGGGCTCAAGAGCTGTCAGCAGTATTGAACAATTAGAGGAGGAGGAAGGGTTGTGAACAGTTGTTCCCTCCAGGCTTGGAAATTAACAAAGGCCATATTAGTAAGCTGGGGGTGGGGGAATTAAGGAGAATGGGGGTTGGGAGCAACAATTTAGAAGTGGAGGGGGTGATTGAGGGGTTTGTTTCCCAGATAGTTTTCAAAGAAAAGAGATTTGTGTAGTTTGCTGTGGGATTGAGAACACACTGCAAGATCATTGTTGTTCTTTTTTTTTTTTTTTTTTTTTTTTTAATCCGACAAATACGTCCTCTGGCATATTCCTTTTCGGCTAAAAAAGTATCTTCCTTTCCTTTTTCATGGTCATTGATGGCAAGAGCTTAAGGCCTTTTTGCTTCCCAGGGCTCAGGATTGGGTGGAGGGAAAGATACACAGAAGAGGGGAAATGGACATTTTGCAGATTTTTCTTGGGTTTTGTCACAGACAAGGGAAAACTGTCCAGTGCATAGGGAAGGGCCAGGTCTTCATTTTAGACTGGGGGGTGATTGATTTCTTTCTTTCAAGGGGCTGATGGAGGAGGTCAGTGTCTTAGAAAGGGAAGAAGCCAGGGAAAGGGAGAAAAGAAAGAATGAGATTTATGACCTTCTGGATCCCAGCTTTTATGTCGTGTTACCATTCCCAATACTGGAAGTTCATGACACCCTGAGAAAGGACCGTGGAACTCGGAGCAGTGATCTGCATGCAAAGGCGAAATGAAACAGTCCAGCAATTGCTTTGATTCAGAGACACACACAGTGCTGTCCTGGATCCCGGGTGCGGCTTCCCTTTAGTTTGTCCTCTAGGCACAGAATCCAATGTTCCACGCACTGATGAGACAGACCACCCAAGGCCACTCACGGTGCTTACAGAGGAGTCATTTCAGCAACGGGACTGCTTCATTATTCTCTCTGCAGTTAGCCCTCCGCACTCAGAACGTGGAAACCTTTACATCTGTCGCCAAAGAATACGAAACTAATAGGTGTTTCTCAGAGAGCCCCATCCGGGTCCCATAACCCCGAGCTAATAATTGAAGATCTTTAAAAATGTATGTATCTTCCATTTTTATTCCATATGGCCCCTTAGGTAACATGACCCAATGTGACCATTAAATGACCCTGCTTACACTTGGATTACTCAGTACAAAGCAAATTTATGGTTGTTTATTCTCTCCTCCTATCAGCTATTAGTGCCTAATCATATGGTCTATCGATCATGAGATTAATCGCCTGCTCAAAGAGGCAGCAGGTCTTGTGGAATGCTGCACTGCGCCAGACTGAACTTCAACCTTTTATACAAACCGGAGGAGTCAAAATCATCATTCACTGCCTGCAGCCCCTGGTCCCCAGGCCTCCTGAACCCCAGGAGGTAAATCCATGCTTTTTCAAACAGTGTACTTTGCACTTCCTTTCCTTGTGTAAAACTTCACCTCATTGATTCAGGCAGGCACTTGCAAATAAAATCCTTTGCAAGGCATCCAATAAATAATGATCTACACAGAAAATAGGAGGGCTTTCTTATACAAAGCCCCACAGTGCTGCCCTCATTAAAGGTCTGTCCGTATTTCTATTTCAGATTCTCATTTTGGAAGATTTATCACTGGGCCATTAAAGTTTTCTTGGGCTAAGACTTTCCAAGAGTGTCACGATCTGAGACCCCTACCCCCCTTTTTGTGGAATGTGTTTATTTGAAGATAGAAATAATGAAGTCCAAAAACATTATCACACAGTAGCACATGTCTGCAAAGACAGGACACTTTAAAATGTGAGCACTGCACCCCCTGAAGTGACTTCTCGTCACCTCCTCTGTGTCCTCATGGGATTTATGAGAACAGATAATCAGTGTAATGTTCTTGCTGTATTGTAATGTTTGTTTCCAGGCCTGTATATCCCGCTGGAAGGAGAGCGAGGGTAGGGGTCTTAGTCATTTGTCTTGATAGCCCTGCTTGTACCAGAGGGCCTCACCCAACATAAGCACTGGATTTGTTCAGTAAATGCACCAAAGGATGGGAATCAGGAAGCTTTCGTTCCCGTCCTGACTTGGTTGTTTAAGGTGCGGGGTGAATTCAGGCAGTGGATGTAGACAAGTCACTTCTCTGAAAACAAGTCTCCTGGTCAATGAATTGAGTGGGCTGGCTGGTCAGTTGTTCTTTGAGTTGAATGCTGCCGGCACAGTGTTTTCAAACATTTGAATCCGAACACCCTTAGATGGAATCTGGGCTGTCAAGTTTGCCATAATCCCCACGGTTTCCTATGACATTATGCTGTATCCGCAGCCTGCTTCAAGCATTTGCCTTTATGGTCTGTGTTTGTTGTTCTTTGTAGTTATGTTTATAATGTGACGTGTGGCTTTGTTGTTAAAGTGAGGGTCTGAGATTAAGGTTAGCCGGGGATACTTTTGATGGGAATTTTAATCCTCTAACTTCCAATTCTTTTATCAAAAAGAATCTCTGACTATTATTTTTTATTTCATGTTTTAAAAACTCTGTCTTTTAGACAAACTGCATTTGGTTAATATTAATTTGTTTTCCCATTAAAAGTTTTTTTTTTTCTTTATTGATGTTAGAGAGAGAGGGGGAGAGAGAGAAACACCAATCAGAGAAAACATCGATTGGCCACCTCCTGCATGCCCCCAACTGGGGACAGGGCCCACAACCTGGGCATGTGTCCTGACCAGGAATCGAACCGATGCATGTGTTGACGCTCAACCACCTAGCCACACCGGCCGGGCTGTTTTCCCATTTTTAAAGCAAACACATCTATAACTGAGCTTGCAGATAGAAACACGCCGTTGGCAGCGAGAGCAGGACATGGTTTTGTGCAGTGAGTTGGTTGATGTTTTAGCCTACACAGTTGTTTCATGGTCAAGTGTATAGTTTCTATGAGAAGTTTTAGTATTCTAAAAACAGTGCCTAGGTCTTCCGGCTGTTTAAACATGTGAAGTCCCAAGGACTGTAGGTGAGTGCACAGTTTATTCTTTTATGGGTTGCTGACCTCAGAGCTTCAAGGAAGTTGTTGGTCTGCATATGCAGTCCATGTCTTTTTAATTTAATTTAATTTTATTTTATTTCCATTGCCATTTATCCCCCTATACCACCAGCCTCCCCCCCCCCCATCACTACAGTGTTGTCTCTGTCCCTGAGTTCTCCCTACAGTCCACATCTTTTAAATTGTCTCCTTAATGGTCAGCGTAGGGAAGGAAGTCTCTATAAAACCTGGCATTTACATTTGATGGGAGGAAAAGGACTTCCTAATATGAGTTTACCCCAAGGCCCTTGCCATTATCTCTCCCTTTAGTCAAGAGTATTTGGGCCCAAGTGGCTCAGTGGGTTGAGTGTCATCCTGTGCACTGAAAGGCTGTGGTTTGATTCCCAGTCAGGGCACATGCCTGGGTTCCAGGTTCAACTGGGGCACATGCAGAGGGCAGCAGGTTGATGTTTTTCTCTCACATCGATGTTTTTTTCCTCTTTCCCTTCTCCTCTAAGCATGTCCTCAGGTTAAGATTACAAAAAAAAAAAAAAGAGTATTTTGAAAGGTTTGTTAAAAGGAGTGGGAAATAGTTTGATACTTGACTCCCAAGCTAAAGAGAATCCTTTCTTTCATCTCAACTCAGGCTGTTGGTGAATATTGTAGATTGAGAATTTAAAAGCACACACTTAAAACAGAGCAAATTAAAGCTCCGTAGCAGTGATTTTTCAGCCAGTGTGCTGCAAGAATTTTTAAACCTTCAGTACCTGACTATTGAGTTAGGGGCTCTGACCTCTTTGACCTTAAATTGTCAAATAAGAAAAGGACAACAGCCAACACAACAATAGCTCAATCCACTGAATCACACTGGCCAAGCCAGTGTGAATGAATCAAAATTACACTTTTTTTTTGGTCAGATGGGCAAAAAATATATTTTTTAGTGTGCCACTGAATTTTAGTAATTAGTTTATATGTGCCATGGGATGAAAAAGGTTGAAAATGGCTGCTTTATAGCATAGAAGTAATCTGCTGTAAGCCAGTCCGGAGGCCCAATCTTTGATGTTTCCAGTAGTCAACATCAAGTGAAAGTAAAGGGCTTTGAAGATGGCAACTGGGTTTCACCAGATTCAAATGGACACAGTGTAACAAGAAGAAGCAGCATCTACATTGTGGCTAAGAATTTAGGCCCTGGGGTTCCACTAATTTGGGTTTAGTTTGTCTTGTTTCTTTAATTAATTCTCACCTTGGAAAGGTTAGTTAACTCTATAAGCTTCAGTTTCCTGGTTTAGAAAATGAGGATAATGCTCTGGATGGTTTGCCTCAGTGGTTAGAGCGTCAGCCTGCAGACCAGAGAGTCCCAGGTTCGGTTCCCTCTAAGGGCATGTACCTCGGTTATGGTTTGTCCATGGTCTTGGTTGGGGTCAGGTGGGTGGCAACCACTCAATGTGTCTCTCTCACTTCCTTCCTCTATCCCTCCCACTCTATCTGAAGATAAATGCAAAAATGTCCTAGGGTGAGGATACTAAGTAAATAAATAAATAAGGAATAATAATAGCTTGATGTGAGGAGTAAGTAAGAGTAATTCACACAAGGATTTATCATGTTGGTCATAGAATAAATAATAAATATTGTCATTAATAGCTAGGACATATTTGAAATATATTTGTGAGCTTTGAGTTTTTCTTTTTAAGAGTTTAAAGATACTCTTTCTTAAGAGTGCCCATACATTTCCAGGAAATTGTATGTTTTACCAGTCCAAATATGTTGCTTTTAGTTTTTCAGGAAGCAAATGATATTTAACTTTAAAACACTGAAGTTGAGCCCTGGCCGGTTTGGCTCAGCGGTTAGAGTGTTGACCTGCGGTCCTGAGAGACCCGGGTTCGGTTCCCGCTAAGGGCACGTACCTCGGTTGCAGTTTGTCCCTGGCCCTGGTCGGTCGTGCGGGTGGCAGCCACTCAATGTGTTCCTTTCACGTCGATGTTTCTCTCTCTCTCTCTGTTCCTCTCTCTCCCTCCCACTCTACCTGAACAAAAAAAAAAAAAAAAAAGGGAAAATGTCCTTGGGTGAGGATAAAAACAAAACAAAACACTGAAGTTGAAATCTTCTCGGTCACATTTTCTTTTCCCTCCAGATCAATCCAAGTTAAAGTTTCATTGCAAAAGTTTCATGGACCCTTATTAGCATTAATTATTATGTGTGTGTTGGTGACAGTCCTACAGTGAGTGCATTAATAATTAAAACCCTTGAGAAAACTTTAAACCCTCATGGACTCATAGAGCTGGAAGAGACCTAAGAGATCATCTCTAAGCCCCATTTCACAGATAAGGAAAGTGCATATTACAAGGTAAAATAAGTTTTGAACAGGGACTGTCTTTATATAATGGCTTTTTAATTTGTATTTCTCACTGGACTCTGCACTCATTTGCCATGTTGTGATTATGTTCTTATTGTGGGACTTGTGTGTATTTATTAGAGACCATTGAGATGTAGCACTGGGCATTACTTTTGTGGTGAAGGCACAGGGGCAGTAATCATTATTAATGGATTCCATTATTTGGGAGAGCATTTTACTGACTATAGAGAATTCATTGCATTGATCTATTGTGCCACATTTGTATTATACCAGGTAGTTTAAAATGATATTCTCTAAACTGTTAGGCTGAAAAATTGTCCAATCTTGGCAGTTATCCCATCAGTAAGACCTTCCTTTGACTACTGAAAATACATAGTTCTGTTGAAAGAAACCTTTTGACTGGTCCCTAGTGCCCTGAATGTGTTTAAATCCCTCACTACTGAAATAGGAGGATTACTACTGCTGTCATTGTTCTAAAACAAACTTCCTTTTGGATGATAACAGCAGCGGTAAATCAGTTGTTGAAGAAAGTACCAGCTTAACTTCAGTTTGCTTTAAAAGGGTTTCCTCTTTAATTGACAAGTGTCATGTATAATCGAGCATGGCAACTCACATAGAAAACCGTATGCTAGGCTTCCCGCTGGGGTTGGAGTTCTTAATGAACATACAAGTGAATACACTGTGGCAAAAAATTAAAGCACCCCAACTGTGTAGTATTCATTCTGTTCACTCTGGCCGAGGTGGTGATCAGCACCAGCCACACCAAGGACCAGAGACCTGGATTGGTCATGTGGCTGTTTTGTAGCTGTGAGCTAGGGTGACTGTGGTCTTTCCTGTGACAGTGTGAATAATTGCACAGACGCTAGTGTCCTATCGAAGGAATAAGCAAACGAAAGTTGTTTTCTAATTTTTAAATATAAAGACAATAAGCTGTTTGCAGCACACGCAATCTCTTCGCAGAGCGGTGTTCTCCTCACTCTGGACCACTTGCTAATGTTCCCCAGTTTCCTTACTTATAGTTCCCCTTTTCCTTCTCTTCACTCTCCAGAAGAGAACAGACTGATTTTTTTTAGAGGTGATGTTTACAACAGTTGAACACACTCGAATAAGCACTTAGAATAACATCAATAGAGGAAGGAAAAAAAAAAAAAGGCATATTATTATCAAATTAAGTAATGGATGGGCAGTGATATTTTATTTATTAGAGCTCGTCTGAGTACCATTGGAAACAGAGTACGCTGGTTCTGAAGTGCACAGATTAGAGAGGAATGTCGAGTTTGGAAACGTGGCAGCCTGCAGCACTGTGTATGGTTTAAATTAAACCTTTTTTTGGAAAGCAGAATAGCTCTAGGCCACATTTAAGGGGAAAGCTACAGCAGAGTGAGCTGGCTGTGGTTTTTCTTTTACTCTGTAACCGGCCCACTTTCCCTTGTTTTAACACAGAAAAAAGACTTTGGACTCCTTCAGACCAACCACATAGCTTCTCTGCTGACCACAAAAAGGAAGCTTGGCGTAGAAGCCATAGGATTAATACCCACTGTCTCTTAACCCAACAGAGTGTGAAAACTTTTATAAGAGATTTCTCTGGGCAGACTGACACTGTGGTTGGACTTGAAACATTTTAAATCAAGAACAACTTGGAATTGCATTATGCCACAGTACTCTGTAAATTGTTATGTGCGATCCCACTGTTAAAAGTTGTTTACATGAATCCCCAGGTTTCAGAGGGATAAACCACTAACAGCTTTGTGTATCTGGATAAAGAAATACAAGGAGAATTAAAGGTATGCCCATGCCAAATTATCTTAGAGTAGGTAGATCGCAGTCAATCTGATTTTATTGTTCTCAAGCAAATGGAGACAATGGCTCTTGGCAGAAAAGCATTTCATCTTTGAAAATAATAAGATTAAGTTTGTGGATTCTATTAATCACTTGATCAGCTTTATTAATTCAACACCTTATTTTTTAACTGGAAAGAAACCTTCCTTTTAATAGAGGTAAATCTTTCTAAAGTAATTTTTGTGTTGCAGCTGTCTTATTTAATATGCTGACCTACTAAGGTGTTATAAATGGTTGTTTCTGTGTCCTAAGCATTAAGTTTTTTTTTTTTTCAGAGAGAGGGAGGGAGGGAGGGAAAGAGAAAGAAAGAGAGAGACATACAGACAGACAGATAGACATTGATTTGTTGTTCCGCTTATTTATGCATTCATTGGTTAATTCTTGTATGTGCCCTGACCGGGGATCGAACCCTCAACCTTGGTGTATTGGGGTGCCGCTCTTACCAACTGAGTGACCCAGCCAGGGCCCTGAGCATTAATTTAGTGATTGGAATTGTACTACCATGATTAATCATGTTTTCACAGAGCAGCTCTGACTTTAGCAAGAAACAAACAAAACCCAAAAAACCTCTTATGTGTTTGTATTCATGTTTATTATCTAAATACCTAGGATTGATATATTTTACAAGAAACCATTTGAATTTACATTTTGCCATGCTGAATTAAGCAGCTTTTTACAGGTGCACTGTATCAGCATTCTGCTCTCTATTCAACAAAGAATCTCAGTTGAGAATTGATTTGAAAAGTTGAAGGGAAAAACCTGCATACATGTTTCAAAACTGTGGTCTGACAGTAACCACTGAGTTAATTCTTGGTTAACTGTATGTCGCGAGAGGGGTTTATTTGCCGTCATTGGAGAAATCGGTCTGTGTAACACTTCCTGTGTGTGAAGAAATGCAGTTGTTATCTTGCCTAGACCATTAAAACAGTATTTAAATACTTCCAGTTGTGAGGGGCCTTGCATTTACTGTGGTTATTTTCCCAGGTGTCTTAGGAGCAGCTGTTTTGTGCTTTCCTGAACTTAATAGTTGAAGAATGTGGGAAAGAAATGGTGTACTTTCTGGGTAAAGTATTTTAGCCACCTTGGAGTAGTTGCATTGCATCTTGATCTTTTTTCATCTTGGTAGAATTATACTGTAACTAATTGAATCCATTGATCACTGTCTTGTTTTTTTTCCATCTTCTTCTCAGAGGATTCATTTCATAGGGGTCTATACATCAGTCAAGAAAATGACTACAGAGGAATTACCAAGACTCGTAATAAAGGTAATTTAACGTAGTTTAATGTTTTTTTAAGGGCAAAACTCTGTAAGTGTCCTTTACCTGGTGAGAGTTAACTTCTTATTTAGGCTTTGTTGGAAAACTAATCAAAATATGATACCAACCAGGACTTTCAGAGAGGGAGAGAAAAGAGGGGAGGAAAAGCATCCATCTCAGAATTAGATGACCTGATTTCTAGTTGTACCACTGCTTTCAAACTTTAATGTGCACATGAATCGGCTGGGGATATTGTTAAACTGCAGATTCGGATGCAGTTGGGTGTGTATGAGATTGCGCATTTCTGACCAGCTTCCTGGGATGTCCAGTGCTGAAGGACCTCAGACCATGCCCTGCATAGCAGCATCCATTTTAGCACTTAACTAACTTTGTGGCTTAGGATAGACTATTAACAACTCTGCATCTCAGTTTCCTGATCTTTCAAATAGGGATGTGAAAATCTTCGCTTTGCCCACATACCCCATCCGAGATAATGTACAGTCAAATGAGATAATGTAGATGAACATTTTAAAGACTGTATAAGACACCACAGATATTTGTTTATAGATACAGACATTCTTTGAATACCTTTCATCGAATCCAGTCGGTGCGAGCTGTTCTGTGATGAGAAGCACCCTGCACTGTGAGACAGGAGAGAGGGACTGGAACCTGTATTTCCTTCATCCACTCTGTGCGTTGGGCCACATCACTTCACTCTTCTGTTTCTTTGTCGTCTCATCTTTCAAATAAGGGCTTGAGATAGAGTAGAGGGTCGCAAAGTATGGTCACCAGACCAGCAACATCAGAGTCACTTGGGACCTTGCTGCATTCCTCCTCCCTTCCCAGACCCCGGGATCAGTACTGCTGGGGCTGGGGCCCAGCCGTCCGTTTCTGACAGGAGATTCTGATACATGCTGCATTTTGAGAACCGCTCGGAAGTGTCATCCACCTTTGAAATGGGATATTTTAGTATTATCTTTATAGGGTTGGCCATGGGAATGCCTTTCTGTGCAATCTATAGAAACTCTCCTTTTTCATAGGAAGAGAAGAGTTGGGAGTTGAGTGTCCCCCAGGCTATTCACTGAGTATGTGGAAAGGAGGAATGATCATCTGGGGATTTAAGTCTCACATCCCTGGAAGTCAGAACAGATTATAGCTGCACTCACCTCCACCTTTCTGGCTTATCCCAGCTTTGGAGGTGGCTTAGTAGCCCGTGAAAGCTGATGAAGACACGAATGTGCAGACTGAAGAGATTCTCTCCCATTCTCCGCTCTACTCCCCTGATAGCTGTCCTCATGATGCAGCCCCAAAGAACGTTTTTCAGGCATTTCAGACACTGTCACAGAGATTATCACAATCTGTTTGCATAAGGTAGGTTGGTGTGAGATGAGATCTGAGAAAGTGCAGTTCTTGTTTTTCTTAAAGTCATTCACAGTTAGACTTCACATACCTGCGCTTTTGTTTTTTGTTTGTACATTTGGGAATATACCTTAACACTAGAAAAAAAGCACAGCCAGCCTCCAGTTGTCCAAAGTAGATTTGATCAAGTGCGAGCACTAAAGCTCATGGTCTTTATGTTCGGAAGAGACCCTCAGTGAAGCCTACCAACTTTTACACAAGTCTGATTTTTCATTCCAGAGCAGCAAATAAACTCCTAGTGGACAGCTGATTGAGTCTAGAAGGTGGACACAGCAAGAGGTGTTAGGTGGCAAGCTGAATGGTGAGAGAAGACATGGAGACACTGTCAAAGCAGAGCAGATACGACAGATATGAGGTTGAGATGGATAGTGGCTTGAGACCCCCCACCCCACATATGTATATATGTATAAGTGTGCAGTGTAACAACAGACATATATGTATACACAGTGCATGTGTATGTACGTATATGCGAATATGTGTGCATATATATAAAAATACACAGACCCACATATACATGTCAATACATGTATTTATATAAATATATGCATACTTATTTATATATGCACATACACATGAGCAAACACACACATATGCCCTATATACTAATATTCCTAAATAGTTCTTTGGGTATTCACTGTGATGGAACACTGTTTTGTAACTCATGTTTTTAATGGTATCTTTGGGAAAAGATCAAGTTATGTTTTAGTATATAATAATATTGGTTATACATTATAGAAGATTGCTCTCCAGAATGAGTTAATATAGAAAACAAATCATCCTTAAAGTGATACATATAAGCTTTGCAAATTCATATAATTATGGACTCTCTGGATTAATGAAGGACCTTATAGATCATCTTATCCATTGGTTTTACAGATTTTCTTTAAGGAGGGATCTTCAGAACCTAATGCATAGGGAAAAAAAAAAAAAAATATATATATATATATATATAGATATAAAAGAAGTATGGGGGTACTGGATCTCTGTTAGCTTTGACCCTTGCAGCTGAGTTGGAATTGATCCCTAGGGCAAGGAATCACCTGGAAAACTCATTATATGCAGAGTAGGGTCCTGTAGGTCTGGGTCCGGATCTGGGACTCTGCATTTTAATAAACTCGTGAGGTGTTAAACATATACCCACTGCAGTTGGAGCAGCGAGGCCCTGGGGAATCTGTGCTGATAGTTTGAAAAACTTTGATGGGCCAACCCCTTCATTACCAATGTGAAAAGAAAGTCTTGGCCTTTACAAGTGATTTGCCAAGCCCCCACTGTTCTGCATCATGCCCGAGAGGAGTGCTGTGTCACAACCCTTCTGGCTGAATGAGGTACCCCAGTGCTTTGCACTAACTTAGTTGTCCTTATAGATGATGCCAGGAATTCGTTCCCTTCCAGCCCAGTATCCGCCCTGCTGAAAAACTGTACTTTGACTCAGACCCCGTTGGGGTGGAACATCCTCGTTATCCAGCAGGGGCTGCTAGGCCAGTAGCTGTGGTGTCTGCTGCCATAGCGGAATGGATAAGCAGTTTTCAGCACCCCAGCATCATCCATAAAACTCTATCAGCCTCTTTTTTTTTGCATGATGTGTAGTGTTTGCAAATGGAAAATGGCTGAGAAAAAAACAGAGCGAAAGTTTATATAAAATATTTATACCTTAAAGATCTTTTATCTTGTGTCATTCAAGAGATAGAGAAGTGAAAAATGTATCAAGAGTACATTATCAAGAGTACATTATAAATTTAAATCTCAGATTGAATAATACCAACTGCTAATGTGTGGAGCTTTGGAAATGAGTCACTTTTGAATCTTGAGAATTTACTGTACCAGGTCAGTTACACTTAAGGAAGTGCCTTTTGAAAAAAATCCTATACCGGAATCAAGACTTATACTAATGGATATTAAATATCAAATATTTGACATCATAATCACATTAGAATGTAGTTACATAGGAATGCGATGTAGGAGCTGAGAAATTTTATGGGATGTTTCTAAAAAACGTCATAGTTTTGGTTTCTTCTTTGTGAAGCAATATAACCTATGGTTAATAGTATGTGTCTTAGAGGAAGAAAGGCTTAGATTCAAACTTTCTGTTCACTGCTTGTTAAGTGTGTGATTCTGAATCAATTACTGTTTCTGAGACTCTCTTTATTTAAAAAATAAAGGTAATATTATCTACCTAATACTTTTTGGGGGGATATTAA